ACTGGCCAACTGACTAGAAGAGAGCCATATTTGTTCCCATTCAAAAAAAAAAGGAACTCATTAGAGTGCAAAAATTATCAAACAATATCATTAATATCACAGGCAAGCAAGATCCTGCTGAAAATTATTTTTAAAAAAATTCATAGGAACAAGCACAACAACAGAAAACTGCCAGATATGCAGGCTGGGTTTAGAAGAGGCTGTGGTACTAGGGATATTATAGCTAATGTTAGATGGGTCTTGACTGAAAGCAGAGAGTACCAGAGGAACATCTATCTGTGTTTCGTTGACTATGCGAAGACATTTGACTGTGTGGATCACCAGAAACTGTGGCTAACTCTGAGAATAATGGGAATCTGAGAACACTTAATTGAGCTTGATTGAGGTGAAACCTGTACATGGACAGCAAGGAAATGCTGCATGGTTCAAAACCAGGAAATCTGTATGCAAGGGATGTGTCCTATCTCCATATCTTTTCAATTTATATGCAGAACAGATAATCTAGGAGGCTGGGCTCTATGAGGAGGAATGTGGCATCAGGATAGGAACAAGATTCATTAACAGCCTATGTTATACAGATGACAAATCCTTGTTTGCCAAAACTGAGGAGGACCTGAGACATTTGCTGCAGAAGGTCAAGGACTGTAGTAGTCTTCAATTGGATTGAAGCTCAACATCAAGAAAACAAAGATTCTCACCAGTGAGACAATTGACAGCATCATAATAGATGGTGAAGAGATTGATATTGTTAATAGCTTTTGTTTGCTTGCCTCCACAATCAACACTCTTGGCACCAGCATCCAGGAAATTAAAAGATAAATTGCATTGAGAAAATCTGCTGTCAGAGACCTCGCCAGAGTCCTGAAGAGCAATGATGTCCATTTAGAGACTATGTGAGCCTGATCTAAGCCATAGTCTTCAGGTCGTTGCTATGCATCAGAGAGCTGGACAATAACTAGGGATGACAGAAGGATGATTGATTCCTTTGAGTTGTGATTCTGGTGAAGAGTGTTGAATATACAATGGACCGCTAGGAGAACAAACAATTTCATCCTGGAGAGAGTGCAAGTAGGCTGCTCCTTGGAGGCAAAGATTTTGAAACTTCATCTGACATACTTAGGGAATGTTTCATGGAGTGACCGGTCCCTAGAGAGGGACATCATGCTTGGGAGGGTGGAGGAATGGTGTGAGAGGAAGACCCTTGAGGAGATGAAATGACTCAGTGTCTCGGGTAGTGGAGTGGATGTATCAGAGATGATGAGGTTGGCTCAAAATACAGCAGGGTTCAGAACTATTGTACATAGGAGAGCTATGAGTCACAAGCAACTTAACAATGTTTAACAACAATTAGAAGGCTTTTACTTGTAGTTTCCTACAATTCTATTTTTTTTCTTTTCAGTTAAAACATGTGATCATTATTCATTTGAATTTCATATCAAGCAGTTCTATTAGCCTTCTTCCTTTCTCCTCTTTGTAATCCATTTGCTCTGAATTTTGAACACAAATTTTCTTTTTTGTTTTGTTTTATACTAGTTTATTTGCAAAATTTGGATACCTTTTTCAGAACAGTTTCTTCTAATTTCTCTCACCTCTCCATCAAATTGTACAACCCCATGATTAAGCTGCCCCCTCATCCTTACCCCTCTGCTTTCACCCTCCCCCCATTGCATCTTTATACTCATTCCACAATAATGGTTTTATACAATATTTGTTCTTGTGAGACTTAGTTCACTCAGCATAATGCTCTCCAGTCCATCCCGAGTTAGGTAATAATTTACAAAATTATTTTTCTTACATGCTGTGTAGTATTCCATTGTTTGACTGTACCATGATTTCTCAATCCATTTGACTATGGTTGGACATCTGGGCTGTTTCCATGTTCTTGTGATGGAAGAGCGTTACTATGAATACTGGTGTACAAGACTCCAATTGTTCCTCAGTGCTCATTTTCTCAGGGTATATTCCAAGCAGTGGAATAGCTGGGTCATATGGAATTTATATGTTCAGCTTTTTGAGGAAGCACTAAACTGCCTTCCAGAATGGTTGTCCCATTTTACAATCCCAACTACAATATATAAAACTTCCTATCTCACCACATCCTCTCCAACATTTATTACTTGCTGTCCTGTTAAACTTTGCCACTGTTACTGGATTGAGATAGTTTTGATTTGCATATCTCTTACTACCAGTGATTTGAAGCATTTCTTCATATGAACCCAAATTTTGGGTGACACTTTGGTTTTGTGTGAAATTTGAGGTAGTCTGCTTCCTTGTCTTTGTGATGTGTTTGTGTGGGGTGTTTTTATTCTTTTAAACTTTTGTTTTACCTATTATCTTTTGACTTCTGTGTGATAGGGTATCCAGGTATTTATCTATTCATTGTTTGTGGACTGCTTAACCTCCAATTCATTTTTTGGAAGGAGGGGTCTTTGGGTCTCTCCTTGCTGGGTCTCTGCATTTCTGAGTCCCTGACTCTGTGCACCAGGGACTTTTTGTGGAGTGGCAAAAATTTTCCATTCAGATGGGAATTTTCTCAGGTGTTCATCTATGGGAAGCAATGAGATGTAATCTTATACTTTGATTTTTTGTAGTCTGATAATGGTAGACTCAGTTCTTTGGCTTTTGTAAAGAGAAAAGAAGGCATTTATTATCTGGGAAATTTTACTCTTCCTCCCACCCCAAATAGCTAGGCAGTTGTTGTTACTTATAGCTTGCTTCTTTGCCATTCTCTCTGTCCTGTTTCCATTGATTCTTAATAAATTCAATTGTTTCTGTTACGTGTCATTGAATATGAAACTTAATATTTCATTTAAAATATGATTATGTGTATATTTATAGATATTTGATAGGATGTTTTGTCAATACATGGCTTTGTTTCCTTTTATCAGCCAATTCTTATGACTGAAAATTAGGATACCTAATTTGTGATACTTCTCCAGAATTTGAGCAATATGGGGTATGAATTATCAAAAACGTCTTCACTGTTGAGTGCAAAGAAACTCATAACTGACACTCCAGAAGGTTGTTGGAGACTGTAAATTGTTTTGAAGAAGATTGTCTAACTTTCTCCCTTAGAGCTGTTGGTAGAGTTTTTATGGACAGGGTCAATATATG